ACCCAAAACAGAGTATGTGTTAAGACAGAAAGAACTCAATCAACTAGATGGCAATGTCAGAATTAGGCTTTTGATCGTTACAAAAAAAAAAAAAAAAAAAAAATTCCATTTGCTCAAATTCCAGCATCCAGGCATACTAGCTCCCATTTGATTTTAGAATGCAGGTATGAGAGCTGGGGGGCAGATCCACTTAGGGCTCACCTCCTGCACATAGCAGCTAGAGGTGCTGCATAGAAGAAGGTATGAGCCTGGCCTGCACACTTTCCCTTCCAACTCCTTCCTTACATATGAGTAGCACTTCTAGGAGGTGCACCCCGTTGCTGTAGCCCAGCTATATTTGTGACCAATAATCTAATAGGAAGCCATAACTTAAAACAATAATGCATTGCAAGATATGGCTCTGCCATCCTAGGAGCCTGTTTCATTATTAAGCAGAGGTATCTCTTTCTGTGAATCTGATGAAAACAGCATGACCACAGAGAAAAGGCAACCCGGATGCCAAGGATATGGCTGAAGAAGCACTTTTTTAGTGTGACTCGGAGGAAATCACAGAATCACAGAACGGGTCGAGTTGGAAGGAACCGAAGTGGGTCATATGATGCAACCTTCCTGCTCAAGCAGGGTTATCACAGAGCGCATGGCACAGGATTGTGTTTAGATGCCCTGAATATCCCCACTGAAGGACTCCACAACCTCTCAGGGTACTCATCATAAAATGGTGTCAGAAAAAAAGAAGAAATCAGGTGTTCTGTCATAGACACTTCATTTCGGAGCAAGTCGCTGCGTTTATTTCTGGATTGCCCTAGGCAGAGACTGTGCAGTTCCAAGGCTCTGCCATCAGATGGCAATGCCTATTTAGGCCGAGCCACTGCGGAAACAGAGCCCGGCAGCTCTCCGGGGGCAGAAGAGGAGCGTGAGCAGCTGCGAGCAGCTTCACATGTCTCTCTTCTGCATAGAGGAAGTGAAGCTCTTAGCACTGATAGTGACCAAGTAAACGCAGGGGAACCGGAAGGTCGGCTCTCTCCGTCTATACCAGAAGACAAGAGACTGCCACTGTATTTCAACCCTACTGTTAATACAAAATCATAATTTAAATCCTACTGGAAATGTGCATTCATTTTCTCGAGGTCTCTCTTGTGCTCACTGAATACTTCACACACCCATCTCTGCATCAGTCCTCCCAGTCTGGTTGCTTTCAGACAGTTTCCAGTGGTTCACCAGTACATGACTAGACTTTCTGCCTTTGACTTCCTTACACACTGTTGGTGGTGATGGCTGTGACTTTTATTTTTAGTACAGTAGTTCTTTAGGATGAAGGGCGTGATTTCATGGAAGCAATTATTGGCAGTGTACAGAAAGAGAAGAAAAAACCAGTCTCTGTCAAACATAGTCCACAGTCTGAGAAGAAAACAGAAAAAAAGAGTAGTTTAAAGATGTCTCTCATTTTACAGATGAGCTGCTGCAATGCTTCCACTGCCATTCAAAAATTTACTGTCAGTTTTTCACCTTTTCATCTTTGCATGGTGCAGTCTAATGCTGATCTGTGAATGGTATTTTGCTAATATGTGCTGAATATATCACCTTAGGGAGGAAAAAAAATAGTTTTGGGGGAAATGAAAAATAACTGACAAGAATTATATACATTGAGTCAAAAAAATAAATTTCAATGCCCAAATTTTGTGAGACTGCCAAATAACACATTCCTAACTTCTAGCTTAAATAAACAGAAACCAGAAAACTGTCCCTGTACATTCAGTGTTTCCTTCTGTTTGCAAACCCGGGTTTCAGGTTTGGTCTTTTGCAGGCTGAATACCAAAACCAATTAAGGAGGCCCCATGTGGGTTTTGTGACATAAAATCCTTATGAGACAGAGGAGTCAAAACATCCTGTTCTCAGCTTCCACTGTGTCTTAATTGCAAGGGATGAGCAAGCACTGTCAAACTCTAGGCACAGCTGGAAATTGATAGTGTTAATTTTCATAGGGGAAAGAAGATACCTGTTTTTATCATGACTAATAGGATTTCTCCTTCATGACACAGATACAGGCCTTGGTAGAGCATTATACATGTATTTTATTCATTACAGATGTAATAGCTGCACAGTGGTTAAGGTGAACTAGATGGCCTAGAGCAGAGGTCTCTAAACATTTTTGTCATTGTGCACCCATGTAAGTGAAAAGTTCTTGAGTGCACTCCAATATATGTATGCTTATTTATAAATTATATACATCTAATACTATACTAATTTTAGACACAGTAATAAAATATACACAAAATAGAAATGAAAAAATTATGACATAAACAACATTTCAAAAGTCTACTTAATTTAATTTAATTTATTTAATTATTTATTGATAGAAATATGCTTTCTTCCTGCACCACCGTGTCTTGTCTTGTGTGTCCTGTGGGGTCCAGGAATGGCAGATCACTGCTCTACAGACAAAAGCTGTGAGATCTAATATCCATTGTGTCATATCCAGCCAAAAGGATACTCTGTTCTGATTTACACAGGATATGGCATGTCCTTCCATATCCATTTAACTTTTATGTATGTGGATGTCTGCAAGCAAAGGTGTTCATAGGTGAAAAGGACTTAAAGAGCTATGTCAAGATTGACACCTACAGATTAATAAGATCTTGGTATCTTACAGAGCAGACAGAACAGGTTTTGAGAGATAAAAAGATGTATGTGGCTGCTTGTTTATGAAGTATTTGAGCATTAAACCAGTTTCATGCAAGTGTTTTTTAATGGCATTTTGGGAAATACTTCCATTTGAAATGTAATGGAGAAGTGCTTTCAGAAACAAAAGAATTAAATAATTTTAAAAAATTAGTATGAGATTTAATCATATAAAAATCAGATATTGAGGAGGGAAAAAATAAGAAGGGGAGGACAGGCAAACAAGGGAAACAAAAACAGAAGAAAAATATTATTGTACTACTTTAGAACAGAAACCACTGCAGCTTATGAAAGATATTCACAATAGCTGTGAAAATGTCATGGCAGAGTAGCCCAGCTGTAGCCGAATGCTAACACTGTTGTTTAAAACACTTTATTGCAATCCTGCACAGGAACTTCATTTTCCCTGATTTTTATGTAGCAACTTTATGTATTACAATCTTCAGTTCCTAAACTTGAAAACATTAATATTTAATCAGAATTTATCAAGGTATGCTATATTATTGCCCTAGTAATACCCAGGATGATATTAAAGTATAACAAATGCAATATTATTGCATAACTAGAATTTTAAAATATGCCTTCTGAGAAACCACTGAGACATTCTTACTGGTTGACTTTTTCAAACCAGAAATGATTGTTTATGGTAATTTAAGAAGTTCCTGCCACTCTTCCCAATTTTTTTTCACATAGAAATGGCCTTCCATATGAAATGTATCCCTGGGATCAATTTCTAATTGATGTACCAAAATCCTTATGGAGATGTTTCAGCCAGGAGTTTCAACATTCAAAGGCAAAAGACCTTGAGTTCCCAGTTGTGTTTCCACTCAGGCAGATCTGTTAATGCACTGACTCCTGGGAGTCCCCCATCTTAAGACAGCTGTGAGATACCTGCTCCCACCTCTCACAGAGTCGCATGGTCTGGCCACATAAACCTAGCTGAACAATTAGAACTGCTGTGAGACAGAACAGTGCCCCCATGTCAGATTTAACAGTCTGAAAGGTTTTCAACTACAAACCTAGGGCTACTCAGGCTTTTGAGGAATAACTCCGATTTATCAGTATTTGTCTGAAGTTTATAGGGTCACATTTCTGCAAGTAACTTGAAGGCTGCTGTGTGCACCAAATCTTAAAACAAATCATAGCCAATAGCCTCTGCGTATCCTACATCATACCATGGTTGTTTGGCTTTTAACCAGTTGTGACATTTATACAGTGTCATTTGATCCTTTCATACTGGAGGATAAATTGGATGAACCACTCTTAGAGCTAAAAATGAAAACAGAGTTAAGCAACAGATAGACTTCCTGACCTCCTGCATTCTTCTTAAAGACAAAAGCTGCAAATGAGCCATAGGCAGCTGAGGCAATGAAGAAAGTCACAGATTGTTTTTTTGGCAACTTTCAGATCTATGAATGTTTAAAGATACATTTGAAGTAAAATAAACCCTGTTCTCACATATACTCCATTTTTTTCTTTCACTATATTAGCTTTTCTTATCTACAATCTAAACCAAGCAGTTTTGGACCTGGAAAAGGCCTGTGATGTTCTGCTTTCTTTTTCTTTTTTTTCCCACCAATAATCTCATAATTTCCAACTAATAGCATGTATTTAATTCACTTTAATACTTTAATATACTTTAACATTAGTGCCAGGGAATGCAGGTTCCATACACAAAGGCCTGTCTGAATAAGTACAAAATTTCTCAGTAGGCATGAGTTATGGATATTTTTGCTTAATATAAATGAATTTTGCTGCAGGTATACCCTGTTGGTAGAGATTATATCCTCATCTCATCAGCAAATTTGTGTGTCCTGATTTTGCATTAATTAGACAAACATTTAGCAAGTGAGTTCTTGCTTCCCACTGAACTCCTTTTGTTTGACTGTTTTTTATAAAAGCATTACTACCTAAAATGGCTTAGGGAATGTATGGCGTTACTTTTTAATTATGTAAGAAGCAGGATATTTGAATGAATTCATGAGTAGGCATCCATAAATGTTAGTCTGTTTCTCTGTATTTATTGAAGATCAAACCAGCAAATTATCAGTGGAAAGCTCCACACTCTAAAGTAACCAAAAAGCCAAAGGTCTCTCTATGATGGATTGCCAGAAATATCCCTTGAGCCATCAGTGTCGCATTTAAACTTTCAGTGGAATTAAAAATGAAGACAAATGGAAACAATACTTCGGTGAAACACGCTGATCTGATATGTTATTACAATTTTTCGGTATCTTACACAATTATAACAGTCAAAAGGTCAGGCTACAAAACGCCAAGAGCACTCCTTGGCTGATTTGTTTATCCTGGAAATGCTTAAAAGGACTGCATGGGCAGTCATAAAATTTTAAAGAGCTAAGGTAAATCTCTCTACAAATAATGCCTTTGTTTTTACCGTAAAGTAGTTCAGTCAAAGAGAAACATGTCATTCATCTCCAGTCATGAGCCTTTTTAGGCCCTAAGAGTACATTTTATTTCAATCCCTCTCTTTCAAGGCCTTTTGCCTTCCCAACTTACCTCTGAAAACACAGCTGCCTATTGTGCCAGTTCAGAGGTCTAAAACTCAACTGCAACCTACTCTTCAGCTGACCAAAACTAATTCTTATGTGCTAAGAAATAAGTACTAGTTCATACACAGCATGAAACAGGAAAACTAAAGCTAGGAGAAGTAATATTGTCCCAGAATTACAACCAACAGAGATCTTACATACAGACTAACAATTACATTTACAAGAACAGCAGAGGATTGAGTAATGTTTTTCCACTGAAAATGGTTCTTTTAAGCATTAACTCTTTTTGGTTAAACTTTCAAGAATAACTGTTTGTGAATGAAATTGCACAAAATTGCTGTCAATTTTTACTCTTTCTTTAAAAATACATAAATGGATAACAAGAAGGTTTCTTCTTGGACTTCCATTGAATTCCCAAGTTATCTGAGAGTTTTAGTTCCCTCCCCAGCATCCATGGTACAGATTTATACAGGTATACATGTCAGAACTGAGACAGGTGACTCCCTTTATCTTAGCATTTACAGTCTGTGCCCCTTGTCCAGCAGTCAGATCCACAGGAATTGATTGTTATACAGAAGTGTAATTCAAATTCTGTCAGCATGGCTGTGCACTGATCTAAAAAGAGAACCATTAGATTACGTATCAGGGGTATCACATTGTGAGCACTGAATGAAAAGGAAAAGCCAAGGTAAAGTAGTTCCCCCAGTTAGAATTCAATACTGGAAAGATCTTTGCCTGACTGATCAAGTTCAATTTCCTCACAGCTGCACACCACAGATAACAGTTATCAAATGGACAACCATCTACAGATACCTGCTTTGACATCTGCAATGTACCACATGCTCATTTCTGACTTGCAACAGAAAGATGATGTTGGCAATTGGCACAGATGGTGTGCTAAGAGCAGAGGTCTGGGTAGGCAAAAAAAGCTCTCCTGGTGTCACAATGCAGACCCACACCTGTACTGTGGAAAGGGACAAGGGAGCCCATCTGATTCCCAAGGAGACATGGACAGCAGTGAAAGGAGTGTATGACAGAAAGAGAAAAAATCCCAACATAATGTCACATGAATGAACATGGAAAAATCAGGATCATAAATATAATAGAGAAGTCAGTTCCACTAATTCCCTCATATACTGAAGAATGTATCCCATAAGGTACACTAAGCAGTGGGAAACAGAGGGGCAAGAAGTGTCATCAGGTGCCAAAATTGTGTATGAATCTTAATACCAGAGTGTTTGCAATTATTTGCTCCTGAAAACAATGTACACTCAGTGGGTTGCATGACAAGAGAAACTTACCACTGTTCATATGCTGCTTGGAAAACATCAGCTCCATTCTTTACCTTTGTTCAAGTTTCTATCCTGTTAAAACCAACAGAAAGTTATGAGAGGAAACACATCAGGAAAAGGTCTTCATACCTCTTCCAGGGACTTTTTTCTTTGTATAGGCAGAAAAGACCAGGAATCCAGAAGTCCGAAGTGTTCCCTAGTTCTAGTGGAGACACATCTTTCTTGTGCTAGAGAAACATGGGGGTGCTCACCAGAGATATATGAGCTCAAATACAGAAGGAAATCTGTTAAACATTATGGGAAATTTCATAAAACTTAGTTTTGAATTTTGTCTTTAGACACAGGATTTTACAATGTTCTTTTGTAAAGTCGTTTGTTCAACTTACCTCCATTAATGGAAGAATTGTCCCACAGACTTCTCTGAGGTGCTTATTTTATTAAAAAATCCAATGAACAGAAAACATAAAGGAAAGGATGAAATGAAGAGATTACCAGTATCTTTGATTATGGAAAGAGAACAGATGAAAAAACAAATATATAATATGGCAATAAAGAATGAGCAAACACAGCAGTTTTGAGTTATTACAAGAACAACTTATTTTGTGGGTATTTCTGTCATAGCATATGTGGGTGATCCCATTATGAACTAATAATAAAATGGTAAGTTCCCAGTATGTGACAGTTGTCATTTGCTAATATAAACTCAACAGAAAAAATTCACCACAGATATAAGCAGATATTCTGAGCTATAAATCTGAGATTTCCAGAGCTGTGCTTTACTATATTAGGCTTGATTTGGACACAACCAAGTGATTATAATTCCCCCTGGAAAAAATATATACAGAATTTGCATAAGCTAAACCTGGTGTTTTGCAGATTTGCTCTTATTTTCTTACAATACTTGTAGTACAATAACACTGAGTTAGTGCAAAATAAGTTTTATTTTAATGTACTTGTTTATATCTTCACTCTTATAGTCTAATCCTAGAATTACATTCACACAGCATTTGTGAGCCTTCAGTTCCCCTGGAAGGGAAACATCTAGAGACACCTGGAAAGGAAGCATTTTTCCATAGTTTGAGTCTGACACTGCAATATAAATACTTAATAATAAATTAGAAGTTGCAGAGCTCCCATGACAGCTATTGCCTATTTCCAGCAGGGAGCATGGGACCTGTAGCTATTAATAGCCTGTGTACCCGGGACACAATACTGCCTGTGTCTTTATGCAGATTGTTATTCAAGTTAGCACTCAACTAAAGCATGACAGATGAAAGTAATTTGTTCTCTCAATATTAGTCTTTTACCCTACATTAGTTAGATCATGAATAATTAGTATTAAGTATACAGTTATAATAGTTTAAGAAAATGCTGTAAAACAGCTTGTTTTAGGATTTTCTAGGTCTGAAATTGTACTTGATTATATTCACTATAAATGTACACACTTACATACAGATTTTAAAGTGCCATTAATTGTGTATAATATAAACATGGTTTCTATTGGTAGGGGATGAGATTTTAAATAGAGAAGGATGGGGTATTAATTTAGTGGACCTTATGATATAATAATGACAGACACAGAAGCAATGTAAGTGAATTTTTGATTAGTATGTGAAAATTAAACCATGAGTGAGTTATGCCATGGCCCTCAATAAATCAAATTATTATCATCATTGCTTTGCTCCATTGTGTTTTATTTATCTCAAATGAAATTTTAATTTATGTGCCTGTTTATTTTTTATTAGATCTTTCTTTTTATAAGATCTTTTTATTAGATCTTTCTTAGACCTGGAGGCAACTTAGTTTAATAAAACTATTTGATTATTCTGCCAAATTTAAGACAGAATGATGGTACTTACATTTACATCAACCTAGACTTGCCTAAATATTAAATATTTATTACCTGTGATGTCAATTCCTAGTGCTAGATTTTAAAGTCAACATAGCAAGTGAAGTCACCTCTTCCCTCAAGCACAAAAATGGCAGTAAGAAACCACTACTCAGAGATTAATCTGCCTACCTAACACCTCCTCACTCACATAATTCCCACAACCATCAAGTTCTCTTACGAGCTCTGACTCAAGGAAAAGATATGTCTATTAAGTAGAGGTCCTAGGAAAACACAAAATTCTCAAGGGTTATTTTCACATGTATTTAGATCATAAAAAAGCTAAAAAACACGGTAAGATTGTTGAAAGCTTGAACCCTTACAACGCCACCATAATCATGCTGGGCAATCGCAGCATGATGGACTGATTGCCCAAGATGACCAAGTCATGCTTCTAACCCATGCATACAACAAAATAGTCTCAGAACAGTACTTGAACTTTTTATTTCTGATCCTCATAAATTAAATAGGCTTCTTTGGCGATATTTTCAGATATCTCTGCAACCATTACTGTATGGTATTGGAGGCAAACATATGCTTTGCCTGGAGAGTATACAAGACAACACACACAATTCATTTATTGTTAACCTACAGGTTTCAGAGATGCCCATTATGGTCATGTTTTCTCTGCAAAAATGTTCATTTCTCAAGTTATTACTATCCTATATTTACCTGTTATTGACAGTCTCTTCTCACCTCGGAATACTAGAGAGACTGTACTTGCACAGAAGTTTTAGGACACAGATTCAGATCTCTTGTCTACTTTATCAAACTTAACCACAAAAATTTAGTCTCAAAGAAGCACAAGGCTTGTAAATTAGGCAAAGCATGAGAAAGATAGTGGTAATTCCAATTACATTTTTTGTTTTCAAAGATAAAATGATGATTCATAAAGAATTTGATAAATCACTGCCATGGTTTAACCAGCCCAAACCAGCACATTCCTAGACAATTGTTTAAATTTTATTAGCAAAGGCTGAATTACTTGAATTATACTATTAATAATTATTAATAATACTATTAATAATTATTATTAATTATACTATTAATAATACTATTCCTAAAGTATGTGTATTATAGATGTTGTTGTTTCCTTTCTTTCAAATATTAAAGCATTTCACATTATCACTGCAGATGGTGAATCATGGTTCAAGATTTCAACAGTTCCTCTTAATTGATGTTCTTATAATTTTAGAGTAGCTTCAGAAAAATTTTCAAACTTGCAACATTTACAAATTACATGATATATATATATGTGTATATATATATATATGTATGGTTGATTTATTTATTTAGTTAGCTAGTTAGTTAGTTAGTTAGTTAGTTATTAAGTGCATGTTATAAAATTAGAAACAAGTGTGTATGTTTTGTGTGTATTGCTTCTTGGTAGATAATGAGTACATTATCATACAAGTCTAACTCATGAGAATAAAACCTCTAATACATTGCTAACTTAAGAAAAGTTACCTTTCAAATTTATAGCTGCTAGTAGTAAGAGTTAGAAACAGTTAAGTCATTTATGGTTAAGCCTATAATGCATCTATTATAGAATGATGTGTTGAGCAGTATGTCATCTGGAAGCTGTAATGTACACTATTTGGAAAAAGTATCATACTACTGCTGTTGTGAAAACTGAGATTAGTACATAATTTGAACACTTTTTCAAAAAACTGTTTTCCAGATCATCCTCTTTCATGCAATATAATGTTTTGGTTTGCATTTCTTTGGCCTGAGTTCATGCTGAATACCCACATAAAATGTTAAATCTTCCTCATATGCAAGTCTACAATTTACTAGGCACATATCACATTAGGACAAAACCTTATCTTGAGTCCTGTGAAAGAAATGCTGAATTTTGCTCATCAAATTTGGTGCTTCTGAGATTTTTCCTTAAGACTCTGGTGCTGAGATGATGGACTGATTGCCCAGAACAGGGACAAGGTATGCAAAAGATCCAATGCACACTCCATCAACCTCCCCAAACACAGACTTACAAGAGCTAACAAAAGGGCTTCCACAAACAGTTGATCCAAAATGCCACTTTGAGTTCTAAATGACAACAGCTTTATTTGATAAAAAACATATATATATTTCTCTCACTAAAACTGGCACAGCATATTTATATATCACCCATCACCCTGATATCTCAAAATTTTTAAAATGTTTTGAAGTAGGAATTCTGTCTTCACTACATGTAGTCTCTTCCTTGCAAAAACATGGAGTAAGAATCTCAACTAGAGAAACAGCTTAATTCCTAGGGTAGGAAATATGGTGAAGATGCTGAAGAAAGCAGAAAAAAAGAATTGTGCTGTTTTTTAAGAAATTAATTCTTAATGGAATCACTTTAATTTGTTGTATTCTCAGTCCAGTTCTGAGATCTTGGTTCACAGATTCAGTAACCAGAGGGCAGTTAAGAAATGGGGAGACAACTTTGTCACATTTCTATGCTAAGTCACTTTATAGTCAGTTTCAATCTGTGCCTTCTCAGGCCGGTGTTTAAGCTACTCAAATATTGAGACAGTGCTTACTGGCCTGAAAGAGACAGAGAGTTTTACATACATCTTTGTCAGGCTCTCCAGCTTGTGTCCTCACCATCCATCTCTGCATAAGCTTTCTTGTAGATTTTGAATCAAATTACATGGGAAGCTGAATCTGCAGATCTGGACTGCAGCTGAACTGCAGATCTGAGCCCTCTATCTTACTTTTGATGTTGTCTGAAAAAAACTACACAGTCTGCATCCAAAGATTTGAGTGCATTCCTGTAGCTTCTTATGGATGTGGCAGACAGAGCTGCTGATATGCAGGGGCACAGCTGGCAGGAAGGTGGAGGATGCCAGCAGAGCTGAGGGGCCAACAGCTTTATCTTGGACACCCTTTGCACCTCAGGGGCCCCAAACCCTGACAGCAGAGAGCTGGCTTAGGAAACTAGACCTTGACACCTTTCTACATCTTCTTGCTCAGAAAAGGGAGGATAGTCTCCACAAGGCTAAGACATCTCCAGGCAACAAGTGAAACTTATTTTTGCACTGAGCAACTTGTATTCTCAAGGGATGCAATCATATTTCTTTCTGACATATGGGGAATTGATGGGTTACAGTACCACAGGACATTCCATGAATTCCCTGCATTTCCTGCAGCCATTCTCCTCTAGTTATGTGTCAGAAGCTTTACAGCCTATCTGTCA